CCAAGACTGGATTCTGTGCTGGTGCAATGGCACATAATTGCACCACGAGTAATACGCCAAAAAACCCTGGTTTGTGTAACATGTTCATGTTAGGCATTAAAATGAATCTATGAAGGAGCTTCATAATGTCTTTGGCTTGGTAATTCAGAAGACCGTAATATCATTCTCTTTTGCCAGCAAAGTAGAGCTCACAACATTTAACTCTAAGAGAGCACATCTAGTGTTTAGCTCACAGAAGATAAGCAACATTACTACCACTTGCCATAGATCTCTTATAGCTGAAGTGTAGAGACTTGTACTTCTGGGCTGAAGAAAGAGGACTGTGTACATGAAGCGAAGTGTAATTTATTCAGTTATTTAGTAATTGTGTCTGTTGTCTAGAGGGCCTAGATTTATTGCAAACCAAGTGATTTAAACTACTCTATGTGAACACTTAAGTTAAAAAAAGCTGAAGGAGAGAAATGTTGCAAACTGGTGATATGTATACAGTATGTGTTGTGATGATATACCATGTAATTTAAAAATTTCCAAATATAGAACAAGAAGTCTGCATTTCCCTTCAGATTTTACACTTGCCTTACAATAAGTATCTGGAATTCTTGTTATGATAAGAGTCAGGTGAAAAATAATTAATTCCGTTCAAGTGAACAATTGTCAAGAACAGTATTTCCATGATTAACTGGAAGTTCTCATCAAAATGCTTATGTGATTAGGTCTTCTACAACCTTAGTGATACTAGAATCTTCCCCGACTTCATATTGTGTGTAGATAAACATGAAAGAAAATTCTCTGAAATTGTCTTACCTTGACTAACTCCATCACAAGATAGAGTTCTGTTGGCGTGTCCATCTCCTCTATCAGCATGATAATATTGGGGTGTTTCACTTGGCGTAATATGGATACCTCATTCTCAATCAGGTGTTCCTGTTTAGTGAAGAAGAGAAGGAAAGTTTATGTTATTCATACAATACTAGGACTGGAAGGGACCTTGAGAGGTCATCAAGTCCTGTCCCCTGCACAGTATTGTCTAGAGCATACCTGATAGACATTTATCTAACCTACTCTTAAATATCTTCAGAGATGGAGATTCCACAACCCCCTAGGCAATTTATTCCAGTGTTCAACCACCCTGACAGTTAAGAACTTTTTCCTAATGTCCAACCTAAACCTCCCATGCTGCAGTTTAAGTCCATTGCTTCTTGTTCTATCCTCAGAGGCCACAAAGAACAATTTTTCTCCCTCCTCCTTGTGACACCCTTTTAGATACCTGAAAACTGCTATCATGTCCCCTCCCAATCTTCTCTTTTCCAAACTAAACAAGCCCAATTCTTTCAGTCTTCCTTCACAGGTTATGTTCTCTAGACCTTTAATCATTCTTGTTGCTCTTCTCTGGACCTTCTCCAATTTCTCCACATCTTTCTTGAAATGTGGTGTCCAGAACTGGACACAATACTCTAACTGAGGCCTAATCAGTGCAGAGTAGAGTGGAAGAATGACTTCTCGTGTCTTGCTCACAACATCCTAGAATCATGTTTGCTTTTTTTGCAACTTCGTCACACTGTTGATTCATATTTAGCTTGTGGTCCACTATAACTCCTAGATCCCTTTCTGCCATACTCTTTCCTAGACAGTCGCTTCCCATTCTGTATATGTAAAACTGATTGTTCCTTCCTAAGTGGAGCACTTTGCATTTGTCCTTATTAAACTTCATCCTGTTTACCTCAGACCATTTCTCCAATTTGTCCAGATCATTTTGAATTATGTCCCTATCCTCCAAATGAGCTGCAACCCCTCCCAGCTTGGTATCATCTGCAAACTTAATAAGTGAACTCTCTATGCCGGTATCTAAATAATTGGTGAAGATATTGAACAGAACCGATCCCAAAACAGACCCCTGCAGAACCCCACTTGTTATGCCTTTCCAGCAGGATTGTGAACCATTAATAACTACTCTCTGGGAACGGTTATCCAGCCAGTTGTGTACCCACCTTATAGTAGCCCCATCTAAGTTGTATTTGCCTAGTTTATTGATAAGAATATCATGTGAGACCGTATCAAATGCCTTACTAAAGTCTAGGTATACCACGTCCATTGCTTCTCCCTTATCCACAAGGCTCGTTATCCTATCAAAGAAAGCTATCAGATTGGTTTGACATGATTTGTTCTTTACAAATCCATGCTGGCTGTTCCCTATCCATTGTTAAATGACAACTGACTCCCAATAAAACTTTCAGGTGATAGCTTTTAGTTAGCATTCTTGTTTTTGTATTTTTCTCTCTCTCACACACACCACCCCCCTTGCCTCTATATTATATATACTGAAAAATCTGTGGGGAAATGCCATTTTAATTTTTTCAAAGGTTGTAAAATAAGTTAATTCTAATGTTTTTGTTTACTTTTTTTCTTTTGTTTTAAATTCAAGATACCTATCCACTAAACTGCATGCTGGAGATTTTAAAAAGTCGCATATCTTTTCATTCATGAATGCTTTTCCTTTTTCCTTTTAAAAATATCTGAAAACATTCTCCACCGATCTTTTCAAATCACTATAAATCTAATAACCAACCTTGTCTAAAATGAGAGGTTATTTGTATTTTGGGAGATAAGTCATTTCAATGGGCATCTGAACTTGCTCTTTAAAAACACTGACTAGTAGTGTGCACAGACTATATAAACAGTGACTGAAAACCTCATACTATTTCACCTTATTTCCCCCCCTCCCCCTTAAGGGCTATATATAGATGCCTTGTGGTTTGGTCAAAGCTCAGTTATATGGTTGTAAAACTGATTAATTTGAATTAATGGGTCTATTTCCCAAAACCCATATGGTCAGGCATGCATCTCATCCTGAGAGTAGTTATATTGGTTAACGAGGCTGCATCTTCGAAACCCAATTTAAAAGAACATCAATTGTCATTCAGGAATTAACTTAAGCCCGCTCCAAATAAATGTGTTTTGGAGAAAAGAGAAACAAACACGATGCAACTTTGTTTAAAAAAAAATGTTGACTCTTATTCAGAGAAAGGAGCCATTGTAAAATGCTGGTTGCTG